ATGGCTGCATTGTAATAGTGAAGAAGTTGGTTCAATAATGGCCTGAGTTCTAATGTTGAGAATGTAGACTCTCCCTCTCCCCCAAATTTCATCCAAATTGTGGTGAATCATGGATAAGGAACTAAACTCTCCACAAAGAAACAACAATCCAATCCAAGATGATGCCAAGAAAATAGCAGATTTTCAGCGATGCAACAAACGGGTGTTGTGTATTATTGGTCTAACACTGAATGACCAACAGTTAGTTCATAACAATAGTACATTGTTTTTCCTCACTTAGCATAACTTCAATTTTAGATTCAGATAATCAGTAAAAATGCAAGAAGTTTTAGTTTTTATTATATTCAATAATAAAGAGCAGATTTGCCTTCCGCTCTTCCCCTAAAGTTCTTTAAACTAAATGCCTTCTGATCTGGAAGATCGTTTTCCAGTATGATATCTACACTGTAATGGTTATAAATATCCACTTGCCTTTCTTGGAATAATATTGGATTGGATTGTTGTTTCTTTGTGGAGAGTTTAGTTCCTTATCCATGATTCACCACAATTTGGATGAAATTTGGGGGAGAGGGAGAGTCTACATTCTCAACATTAGAACTCAGGCCATTATTGAACCAACTTCTTCACTATTACAATGCAGCCATGAAAGGGGCTGAATCAAAACATTGCTTTGAAACTTAGTCTATATAATATGATTTGTTTTAAAAAAGGTCATAGTTATTTTTAAATAGTGAGAGATATGAAGACAGCTTAGTTCCTTCATTTTGTTTTATCCTTGTACGCAGCACTAAGAGTGAATTGGATAAGATGGATATATTTTCTTAATAAAAATAAATAAATAAGCTTGGAACAGGAATTAGAGAAATAGTCTGATCAACTCTACTGCTTGATATCATGTTCAAATATTCCCTTTCCTGCCTATCGAATAATAGAAACCTGGATGCTGTGTGTACTCACCTCAATACTACTGCCAATACTGCTGAATTATAATACAATGTATAAATTATATATGCACCATTGAAATCCCACAAAGAAATAACACAGTTAAAATAATAGAATTTATAACAAGTACCTGAAATTAAACTGATATGAACAAATATTCAGAATATTTAAAAAAATAACAAGGAAAGCAGTTAACAACTGGTATCTATTAAACAACAGACAGGAACTGGCTTGTGTTATTGAAGAGTCCAGTTTTAATGCTTGCAAACTCTGCTAAGGAGGTTTTCTCTGTAGGCTTCCTAATAATGCTTCCTAATTTCCTCAATAGGAAACCACTGTCAAGCACTTCACTGTTCATAATCTCATAAACACAGCCTGGAAATAACTACAAATTCTGCTCATTTTCTGCTTTGTTTCTCTGTTATGACAGCATCATTTAACAGGTGCATGCTACCATATGCTATTGATTACCTATCTGCCACTTCAGTCCAGTTCTATCCAGCACTGCTGCCTGAGAGAAAAGCAACATTCATCTATGAAATCAATTCTATCTAATATAATTCCGTACTCTAAAATTTGGAAGTTGTCCCCTCAGAGTTCTTTTTTGTAAAATATAAACAATTATGCTTTTGAAAAATCCCATTTCCATGTTATGTACTGTAAAATCTATAAACTTATCATATGTAAAATCTCATTCCTATTTTATGCACGTGTACAATATGCATAAACATACATACATACATACATACATACATACATACATACATACATACATACTGTACATACATACATACAATCCCTTTCAGGTTTAATGGACATGCTGCTTTGACAGACAGACAGACATTAATTAATTAATAATATTGTAATCCGAGTGCTATATACTAGGTTGAAATGACCTAGCAAATAATTAATTAATTAATCACATTTATAAGTGTGCAGAATTTGTTGATAAATCTAGGTGCATATTGTTCCTGCTAATACATACACTTGCTTCTATTATCTACAGGGCAACATTTTAAGAACATGAATTTATCAGAGGGATCCTAGAAAGTGTTTAGGAAATAAAGTTGGAAGCTTAATGACAATTAAAATCCCTTCTAAATCAGAAATCCTTCCAAAGACATAATATTAAAGATTGTTAAGTGCTTACTGCTTCTTTCGGGCCTTTGCAAAGGTCTAGCTCTCTTCTGAATTCCACTTTCGTGAAGTGCCTTGAACCAGTCTCGCAATCTACTTGCAACTTCTCTGAACTCCAAGTCGCCACACGCTGAAAAGCAAAATAAAAAGTTCTTTAATCTCCACAGGCTGCCTAAAAATTAAATCTTTCATATTGTAAATAAATGTAAAGTAGCTACAGGAAATCGTTTTGTTATGACTTCTATTCCTTTTTCCTTTTTCTATGTATTTTTTTTAAATGTAATTTACATAAGGCCTTTGAAAAGTTTTATTTGCAATTATTCCTTTATAAATTATTTATAATCCTTTAAAATTACAAAATAAAACCATAAGAAACCATAAGCCTTATTGAATCTGCCTAGTTTTCTATCTCATTCAAATTTCCATGTCACACAATGGCCAACTGGATATAATTGGAAAGCTCAAGGCCATTGATTACAATCACTGGCAGTGAATTCACCAATTTTACTTTGTGCTATGTGATAGAAAACTCTTTTTGTCTATCAAACTCTCGAATTGATTTCAATGAAACTCAAGTTTTATGAAAAAGAGATTAAAATATACTATTTAAACTAAATATTATTTTCAGATATATATCGTATTTCCCAAAATTTTCCGTCCAAGATCTATACTTATGAAACTTTCAAAATCTCTGAGCAAAAGTATTATGCGTCTCTGATTATAGTTGGTTCTGACATAATAATACAAACAATATAAATTAACTGTCCTACACGCAGGTACTGCAGAAATCGTGATAAATCAAAGGAGGCCTAATACGTATCTTAATAGGTTTCCACCTTGGTGACCCCTTGTGTATTTGAAACATTATGAATAAACGAAGATATGATATTGATGTATAAACCACAATACAACATTTTCATAATTTGAAAGTTAGAATAATATATAACAAAGAGTTTCTATGTTTTTACCACATACAAGAAATACTTTATAAATTATAATAATAAATTAACGGATCTATCAAGAAACTACTGACCATTACAGAACTGTGTTTTCTTCCTATTAGTTCTAGCTAAGTTTCTGCTGCTGTCAAGAGTGCTTAGTAGTTAACCATTTGCTAAAGAGTATTGAACAAAATTGGTAAAATCATATTCAGATTACGGGTAACACAAACCTCCTAATACTTCAAAGGATATTTTTTTTAATCTATTCCTCCCAAACAAACAAAAGAAAAATGCACATACTAAAACAATTAGGAGAAGCTTAATTTGGAAGAAGATACTATGGCAATACTCTTGTCCTCCAGTTCTATAACATCCTACTGTTTGTTTTAGATTTGATGAATACAGGAAGAAGATGAAGTGAAAAACAAAATTATATTGAATGTACAGAGCAACTGACTAAGGCTGCATATGTGCATAGCAAACAAGGCAAAACTGAAAGTTAGGAATAATATTAGGAATAGATTAGATGACTAAACTATTTAAGAGAAAAACCATATTGACACTACTGGCTCCACATTGCCTAATTATAGCGATAGAGATTGCTAAATATGTGATATTAAATAATTCAGTTGTTCTTGGACTCTGCTACTGCCAGAATGCCGGGTTGAGCTTGCAGTTTACTAAGGATTACATCTAACTAGGTGCTCTAAATGGCAGAGTTTCCTCCTTAAAATGAAACATCTTTTTATACTCATGGAGACATGCTCCTTGAACTATATAGTACGTATTGGTCTGCATTGATGAGGTAATTCAGACTTATATTTGAACCAACAGGTTGGCAGATGAATCTTTAATGCATTTTTTTCTATTATTTTTCTACTTGAATTTTTTACATACTTTCGGATTGCTAGGTTGGCAGAAGCTGGGACAAGTAATGGGAGCTCACTCCATTACGCGATGCTAAAGATTCAAACTGCTGAACTACTGACTTTTCTGATCGACAAGTTCAGCATCTTAGCCACTGAGCCACCGTGTCCCTTAGAATAGCAATAGCAATAGCAGTTAGACTTATATACCGCTTCATAGGGCTTTCAGCCCTCTCTAAGCGGTTTACAGAGTCAGCATATTGCCCCCATATGCCCCCACAGTCTGGGTCCTCATTTCACCCACCTCGGA